CCATTAGCTCTTGCTTCAGGATTCACCTCGGCATGTTATGCATTTATTTCAAAATGCTGGTGGTAAGAAAGAGGGAGTTTCTGTAAATTCAAATCCTTATAACGAAACAATTTTATGTCGTCAGCAGTCTGGGGTTCTGAAAGGGGTAAATGCCATTAGGACGAATCTGCTTTGGAGATCCTCCCCCCCCCCGCCCACCATCAGCCCCACATCTCTCCATTGTCTTTTCATACAAACAGAATTTACACAAACATTAAGCAGATACCTTTAAATTCACAGCAAAGAAAGCTTTGTAAGATGTAGTGTTCTTCCTTCCCCGTGCAGTGCCACAGCCTTCCTCCTCAGTGTGAGCTGATATAGGATGGCTGCCTGTTCCTTTTTTATGCAATCCAAACAGTCTCTAGGCCACCTGGGGAAGGGAGAATGAAGAATATCAAGCCGGTAAGTCTCCTAACCGTTGTGCTATGTGAGGAATGAGTCCAAGAGCCTTTGCAGACTATTAATCTTTTCCAATCCTAAGAAAGCAAATAATCTCCTCCCGCTCCCATAAATACTGCTCCCTCTCCTGCCCTCCACCCCCCCAGTGTTTGAACTGTTTGCCAAGAGCTTTATTAAAAACTACAAGATGCAGTTTTGTTTCTAACTGAATCCCAAACAACTGTACTAGGTGGAGAAGAAACATTTGGTGCAGTCAGCTTTAGAGCATATTTGTATGTAGTCCATGGCTACTTGTCAGCCAGAGACCAGCTTCAACTTTGCGCTAAGCATAATAGGACCTTTCCTCTTTTCTCCTGAGATTAGGAGATGAATTCAAGCTGGTCAAACATTATGGCCCCATTTCAAAGACGGCCCTGGCAGTGACTGGTGGGAGTGATTCATGTGACATATATGGCACAGCATAAAGGATGCTATCTTTGAGACCTCAGGGTGATCTGATAACGACCTCATTCTTTCCTGGCTCTACTGCGTGACCTGCTCTGTCACTATACTTCAAGAATCCTGTTCTCTGGAAAGTGCCATCAGCTCCAAGAACAAACTGTGCTGCGCAGCAGCTAGGTCTTAATGATTTTCCTGTGCAATCCCTCTTTCTTGGCCTTGAAAGGTGAGATTTCTGAAGATGCCCTGGACCCTGCCACCTGTCCTCTTGTCATAACAGCAGGATAGCTGGCTGGTATAACCTTGGTGGCAGGGTATGAAACTAGAGGTGATGAGTACTGTGTCATCTCCAGCCTCTGATGCGAACAGTGAAACTGCAGCCAGTGCTGGAACGTGCTGACCAAAAGCAGTTGTGGGTTTGCTTTACAGAGACTGTGGTGAGGACAGCGTTGGTGTGTCGCGTGGAAGGGGTGCTCCAGAACAGCAGCGCTAACAAGGCATGGAGGAACTGTGCATACCAAGGTGGGCTGTCTGCTGTGCAAGGCACTTCCCCGCCAGCTGCTGTGCGTCACTTCCATTCCTTGGCATCGCATGAAATTTGTCACGGCATTATCCATTTCATTTCTTTCTGTTCCCTTAGTCTGAAATCCATCAACCAGCGCTAAGAAAAAAACATTTGAAAAAGAAGCCAAAGCAGAAGTAAGCAAAGCTGCTCTGTTGGCTGAATTCCTCCGGTTTGTTGTGCTCTGCTACTTAGTTTGACTGAAAAGAGACTGATTCTGCTTTATGCACCTGAGGCTGTGAGAGAGAGGAAAGCAAGGATCAGTTTTATTTCTTATTTTCACTGGCAGAGAACACTGCACCCTATTTTGGAAATGAAAGGGTGATTTCATTTTGGTGGAAGAGGAATCCTGATTCTGTAATAAATCCTACGATTTTTATTGCGTTGGATGTCTGAGAAATCAAATACCATCATTCATTTCTGAAATGACTAAGAAATTGAAACAGGGCTGACGATGAAAGAAGAATAGAAAATCAGGGACTGACCTATCCAGAATTGTAAGGGATTCATTGATTTACACAGTCTAAAAATGATCATTAGCTCAATCGGTCTGACTTTCCCTCCTGTCTGTTGCAGTAGTAGATTCTCTTCATTATTCAAACACCAGGCCTAATTTGCCATCTATGAGTATTCTGTGCAAGGGGTCGTAGTTGGCTTTTCTATGATGTGTTTCACACTCGAGAGACCTTGAAACTCAAGAAACCTTGAAACAAGAGATAGTTTCCTGGGCATTTCTCAGTGGACACAGGACATAAAGTAAAGAAATCACATCTACATATAATTTTCCTCATGTTAAAATACGAGTCAGAAGTGCCATTAGTGTGGATTTCATGATATGGATAGGGATCAGCTAGGTTTAGCTTGAATTCATGATTGTTTATTCCTAGCCATACTTCATTTGTCTGTTTCTAACAAATATTATGCATGGTATGTGGAGGACATACCTGAGTGTGTATCTGCCTGTGTGGTGATGCACAGAGGAGTAAGAATCTGAAAAAAGTCTAGAAATACTTGGCTGGTGTCAAGACTGAGAAAGGGGAAAAAGTACTGAAAGAGCTGTCCTGAGGTGTCCAGGCCAGTTCTTTACACAGAGCTTTCCTCTTCTAAGAAATCTCTATGTCGTTATGAAAAGCAAAGGAGAATTCATCTGGTATGGCTCTAACTTGAATAGCTCCCTTTCAATGGTATGCTTTTGATACCTCTTTACCAAAACCCTGGGAAAGAGGGTTAGAGCAGGTTGTGCAAGTGGAAAAGAGGCAGCTGACTCTGTAGAGTGGGGAATACACTCTTGTTGTTTGCCCAGGGAGTGCTTTTAAACTTAATAAATATATCCGTGAGTCAGATGTCAGAAGCAGCAGGGAGAGAAGTAAGGAATGGAAAAGTCCGGACACTTGTGCACAAAGGAGAAAGAATCTGAAGAGATTCGGAAGCCCAGAGGAGCTTGTGGCTGATGTGTCTGGAGCAGGGAGGCTAGGAGGGCATCTATGACAGACAAAATAGTTCTGTAAACAAGGAACCAAAAAACAATCCACTGCTGCCATTTGTATTAGTCTTGTCCGTTGTAGGCATGCCTTCAGGTGGGCTGGGTCCCCTCACCAGCACTTGGGTTTGGTCAGACAGATCTCATTTCCAGCACACCGCGTAATGCACTGCAGCTGGATCTCCCTGGCCCAAAGGTGTGGGATAGGAGGCAATGTTGTTTGGAGCAATGAGGAGTCAATGATTTGGAAAAAACCTAGACGTGCTAGGGGAATAATTCAGACCAGCTTTGGCTGGACATGACTCCCCCAACTCTAAAAGGCTTTTTGGTTGAGTTTAATAAGATTAGTCTGTAATGCTTTGGAGACATCAGTTTGCTGGCAGGTTTGTGTTCAGTAGTTTCTTGAGCGCCAGGGAATGCTATTGCTTATTTCATTGGCTTGCCTTGATTTCACTGAATCAGACTTGCTTTGCTTCTCAATTAGCTGCATCTGCACAACAGTAACAAATTGAAGATTAGAAAGCATGGAGAGGGGTGCAAGAAAGTTCACCCTCTCGGAAGGGAGTTCCCTGTGTCTCCCCCACCCTGGAGCGTGCTGAAGAATTGGCACCTTGGGAACACTTGGGCTCTGCACCCAGCCTGACTTCTGTCCCAGCCAGAAATCCTGCTGGGATCCAAGCCCCTCCTTATCACTGCAGCACGGAGCAATGACAGTGCGTTGTACAGCTTGTTCTGTTGCTGGGGAGTGTGTGTTCTCTAAAGCTCCAGTTTAGGTCTGTGCTGACATTATTGAAGCTACTGGTAATAAAACATGTCACTACAAGGGCCAGGGCCACATCTGATTCTGTAAAGGGAAAGGAAAAAAACTACTCAAACCAAACACGTATTGACAAGAGGGCTGGATTGCCAGGGATGTGAAGCACTTAGTCCTGCTGCCGAGCCCTACTGACAGGGTGGAGAGGCACCCACCGAACCTGTAGTGTTTGCCCCACAGAAGGGACAAATGGAGCACAGAGCTGAGCTTCCTGGTGCCACATCATCAAGCAAGTGTTGAACGCTCCCAATGCAATGAACTACAAATAATATTTAGGTGATGCCTCTGCCATCCTGTCGGGGATTAGTACATGCTGGAACAATTTGCGTGGGGATAAAACTTGGAAGAAAGGGCAACGTTGAGAGAATACGATATTATTTATTATTGCCATTTGCAAGGGAACAGCAGCAGCCTGCAAGCTTGTATAACTCTGGAACAAAATTATTATTAGAACAGAAAGTGAGCAAGCAATTAGCTAATTGCAATTCACGTTGTCTTGGCAATTATAAGGAGAACAGTTATAAACTCCAACAGATGGAACTCCAATGGGTCAGTCTTTTTTTTTTCCCCATCCCCAAAGGGCATTTGCTACAAACGTCTGCACTATAGGTTCTGATCATGGATTTGTGAAATGAGCCAGCCCTGTGAATAAACACGTTAAAGCACTCCCTGTGAACAACTTTCCCTTGCTGAGAACATGATAAGCAGCCATCCTCACAGATCTGTGTTCCCAGACAACGTCAGATCTGCCCAATACTCAGAAGCTATTGTTTGGTAGAACTTGTCTTTTCTAGGAGTTTCATTTCCAGGAGATCCCAGAAGCCTGTAAAAGGCAGTGGGTTAGGTGCCGGAACTAGGGAAGCAGAGAGCTGTGAGCCATTCGATCTGCACTCACACTAGGGCAGAAGGTAACTAGTTTGGTAATTCTGTACAACAAAGTGACCCAAGTCAGATACAGATCTGTCTGCTCAGGCTAACACATTAGTGAATCTGAGGGCTTATTAAAGCTGGCCCAAACCCAAACTGGACATTTTCAAGGCTGGAAAGTTCAGCTAACAAGTGGTTTCATTCATTTACTCTGCTTTGGTGATATTTCTTTATATAGTCCTGGAAAAGAGGAGATCAAAGCAATCCAGCTACAATATGTATTTCTTCTCATTTGTTTATGACTTTATACAATTTCATAAAACACCTTTTCTTCCTCCAGCAGTGACATGAATCAGTGGTGCCTCCCTGAACCTACTTTCTAAAACTTCTGAGGTTATTTGCGCGATCTTCAGTCCACAGTGAGACTGAGTCAGAAAAGGTGTTTCTGCAAAAATGAGCAAGGAGAGTAAGTAGAATTCTGCTTCCCTGTTCAAGCCACAGGAGATACCAGCAAGGTAGTTCTCATGGGACAGAGATTATCTCATTGCTTTTGTTACAAATATCTGAGTGATGCAAGATGAATGATGGCAGAGAAACATGAAGCCTGGATTCTAGGGATAGTTTGATGTGTGTTTTGTATTTCTTTAAGCCAAAGAAGGATGCAAATGCACGAACCTCCAGTGCGAATTTATTATCCCCTCAATGAGTTTTGTATATGATGAGCAATATTTCAAAGTGATGCTATAAATGTCTACTAAATAGTTAAGAAATTACCTATGAAGCATTTTTCTATTAAAATACGTCAAAACATAAGCTGCATGTGTACAGAACTATGTGTTTAAGGCTTAGAGGTATATGAGTGATGTACAGGCAAAGAGGTGCACCCTGAGTATTGCTGCTTGCAATGTGGTAGTTTCTTTGTTAATTTTACAGAGCACGCATGAGTGTGGCATGCACAGTAACTTGTTTAAGTCATATGAAAACTGTTCATGCATCTCAGGTTGCTTTTTCGAGTATGGACAAGAACAGACAGATTTGGCCTTGAAAACAAAATACCCCAGAAGGTATTCTGAGGCAAACATTTGGCTAGCAAATCTAAAATCTACAGTCAGACTTTACAGTGAAGCTTTTTGTAGCAACGCAAGGAGCACTGTTCGTTATCTCTTCTGAATGTTAGTGATACCATTGATTCTGGCAAAAGAAGAACATCCCTCTTTCAGGTCAAGCTGATACTGATATAGATACAGCTGTGGGATCTGAAACAGATTAAGCCCAGCTAGATGAATTTCATAAATAGTAATACAAAACCAATGCACACCTTAGGCTGATATTAAACAGAAGATGAGCTGGTATTCATCTTAGAGTGAATGCACTGTCATGAAATGGAAACATCAGGTTTGACTTAAAAAACCCAGGTTTCCCATAGGAGGCAGTTTATTGAGTGACCATTTATTAAAGACAAATGCTATCATTTGAAACATATCTCATGAAGAGCATGGCACTGGCTGATTCAGAGGAATAGTAGCTAGAGATGGAGCTTTACATTTCCAGCCATTGATTGGAACAGGTTCCAGCATGTAAAGGAGTTTTGTGATGATAGCTGCCAGGTACCCAAACGTCCACAAAGAGCTCCAGCCTGCCTGCCACTCACAAAGAATGCAAACCCGCAAGGTGCTGAGTGCCATGACCTAGGTCAAAAATGCTTAACTTTAATATACATTTAACTGCAGACAGAAAGATAATCCAGTTATCTCGAGTCAGACCAGTCATATGCTTAACGTAAGTACATTTTGGATAGGGGCCATAGCCATAGCAGAGGCTCCAAGGAATGATCAGGACTGAGGTGCTGAGCTCACCTCTGGGAATCACCAGAAATAACAGCTGGCTCCTGCAGGATGCCTGCCAGTTTTGGAGATGACGTTGTCTAAGGGAGAACAGGATGAGAGGATGCCAAAGGTTGCACTGATTGCTGTCTTTGCCATTTTTAGATGGCCAGAAGTGATGTCTGCCTGGGTCCCAGGTGTCCGGAGGAGGGACACCAGGGAGGAACGCCGGACGGGAACATGGCCGATAAGCCCAACTGCACTCACTTTCACACCTCTACATAAAACTTCTCTCTTCCTTCCAACACTGGTACTTCAGCCTCTTTAGGATCCATGAACAATGATATATCTTCAGGTTTCACTTCTTTGATCTTTGCTTTTTTATGATTTGTTAAGCATTCCCAGTTTGTTCCTGCCATGTGAGCAAATTAAAAAAAATGAAGAAATAGTTCACAATTTTAACGCATTGTGAAGCAATTTGACTTTATTCCCTCCTGTCAGCAATTGAAACTAAAATGAGCTGAGTGTCTAGCAGCTGGGGCTTGGGAGGGGCTCTCCACAGTGAGGACGTGGCAGGACTGGCACTGCCAGCTTTGCTATGTCCCATCGGGTGCTGTCCTTCCTTGCGCTGCGTCGCTGCAAGGTTGCACCTGAAAGCACTGTTTGATGCATTACCTGCGCCAAAGTCCCCAGAGATTTGGAGGTTCTCTGATTTTGCAGGACTTAATTCAAAAAGCCTTAAAAAGAGCCTGGATTCCTGAGGGCAGATCCTTCACATTTTAATCTGTTCTCTTTGAGGCACGCCAATGTCAGCACGCACTAGTCACTAGATTCTTCTAAGAGCGCCTGATTTTTCCTTTCATTTCACGAGTTAGTGATTTTGAGCTGCAGGGCAAACGTTAAATGTTAACAACTGCTGTTAAAGTCACATCTGTGGGTAATTTTGCTATTCACCTGGAAAGAAGTAGTGTTCATTCAATTAATTTAAAAAGTACATGTTGCCATTCTGAAATCTTTCTGGATAGACCGTGGCACCCCAGCAAGACCCTGCTTTTTGTTCTTTATGTTTCAAATCAAAAATCTAAGACAATAATGTCATTCATAGGAAGCAGCAGGTAAAATTGCATGCTTTCTAGAAGCATAAATTCGGTTTGTTGCGTGTAGGAAAACTTTCTGGCTCAATGTAGTATGACATTTGCAACCGTTTAATTTGAATAAATTCCATTTTTATGCTCCATCCTGCTTTTAATACATCAGCCAAACCATTCATAAGGGACAGAATGTAAATCCTGCCTATGTTTTTTCTCTTTTGTGCTATCATCAAGGATCTATCTTGCTAACTCTGCTTGTTCCTTTTGCTTTCAAAAGGTCAGCAGTTCAGGTCTTGAAGACCTGGAAGAAGATGCGGATTCCTTAAGGGTGGAAAGCAGCTCTGGAGCAGGAGAGGTTCTGGGATCTCTGTCACTATTCATCATGCTCAGTGCTGTGTGGGTAAATATGTGCTAGGAAAATGAGCTCTGCTGAAAAAGCATAGTTTGGGGTTGGGATATATGTTTTTACTCTTGTGCAAAACGCCTACCAGCCCTGCCTTTAGGAAGGCATCAGAGTGTCACTACTGACCTGACTTCCATTTCTCTGCTCAGAGACCTGGTTAGACTTTGTTGGGATTCACATGTAGTTTCAGGGAGTTTATGTATTTCTATCTCCAAGCTCAATCATTCAGCGAAGGGCTGCCTCAGAACTCCAGACAGATTACGAACAGCTAAAACACATCCAAGTATGATGCATGTAGAAAAATTATATTTTTTTCAGAGAGAAAAGCAGGTGCCAAATACCTGTGTCTGGAAGTACGGTCAGGGAATTGCTTCCATGGTTCTGGAGCCAATGCTGGAGAAGACAGGAGAGCGGGTCTTTTTATGATTTCATGAGCCCCATGTCCCCCCACCCCCCACATAATTTTTCATTATATGTTAGATGCCAATCTTATTTTTGTAAGCACCCTCTCTAGTTACTTGACATTTCTGCAACTCCAGTAATTCAGAAAAGAATACTTAAATTGCATGCAGATGTGAATTTTCTAGGGAACACTTATCAGCATCTGGGGATCTTCTGTAAAGACACAGAAAGAGGCAAGAGGTTCAGCAAGCATCACTTGGCATCAGTTAATGAGAATATTGAATTCTTTCCTGCAGAATTGTCTGCAGTAACTAAATGTTACAGGTGACTTGTTCCTGGGAATGTAGCTGGGGAACAGCCCAGCCCAGATTGCCTGTGTGCTTCCCTAATGTTTGTTGTGCTGTAACCTTCCAGACTTGATTTCAGCTCCAAAGGTGAATTTCTGTGAAAGCTGGAGCTTAAAGTTCTTCCCACTGGAGCAGAGGAGAAAGCCTCCTTGAGCTGCTTGGCTGCTGCCGCTGGAGCAGGGCGATGGACCTGGGATGGCTCCAGGGTGCTGCCTCCTTGCTCTGTGGTCACTGCCATCCTGTGGGACACCTTTTGCAGCGCAGTTTCCCACTAAGCAGATGAGGGAGCATTCAGAGAGCAGGTTCTGTCCCAGGTTTCCCAGGGCAGTCCTGGCCAAGGGCTGCTACCACCAGCTGCAGGAGAACCTGCTGGGGAGCAGGGAAGACAGAAAATGTCTAGCTGTGCGGAACACGCCTGTGCCCGTGCCCTGCACAGCGGGGAATAAGCAACAACTCACAAAAAGGCTAATTTTATCTACCAAGGGATTTCCTCGCTGCTTTATCCATATCTGGCAAGGAGAGCAATGGGACAAGGGAAATGCATTGCCTGTCTGTCTAGATAGCTCAGACATGCTGCTGACAGCTCAGCAATGTAAATGATGCATATTAAGCCCTAAATAAAGTGGGAGGAACATGTTTGGGATCAGTAGATCCATCCTGACAAAAAGAAGCAAAGGAACGAAATCCCTTTTCCCAAACAGACTGGTAAGTCTGTGGACTAAATGAAGTCTATTCCCACTGAAAAATGGCTTCTAAAGATTTACGAGCATGGCCTCTCTGTTCTCATTAGCAGAGATGCATGCGAACATTTCCCAGGCAATAGGGGCACGGAGTTGAGGGAGGGCTCGGCTCAGGAGTGCGGGTCACATTCCTCTATGTGAAATGCTCGAGTTTCATCTGAATTCATTTCATCCACACGCATTTGCAGACGAGTTCATCCCGTTTCCAGTTACATTCTCCCATTGGGCATTAATCATCCACAAGGCATGGCTGCAGCCAAACGTCCCTTCTGACTTTCAACAAACTTGTGGGCCTTTCTTCTCTACATAAGTGGTAGACTTAAGATAAGCCCAGGGTCTCTTAAACATGCCTGCCTCTGAATAAACACAGTGGGCATGACGTGTTACAGGCCGCACTACTGAGAATCATCTGGCTGTGGAGGAGAAGAGGACTGTTCTTGTGTTTTTATAAATGCTGGAGAGTCACCTGTCTTCAAAGGATGCTGAGCAGGCTGGGAAACCTGCTAGCCAGCTCGGTCAGGAAGCGCACTCATATCATGCCATTTGGAGGCAATAAATCAGTCGAATACCAGCTGAATGGTCACATTGCGGTGATCGGTGTACAGACGATGCACGTGCTGCTGCCCAAGGCTGGGAACGTATAGCTGCAGGTCTGCTCCCACGGAATGAAGCTGTGTTCTTAATATAGAACATGATGGAATCCAGCTTGTTTGAGCTTTTTAATGTTGCTTTCCCAGCAAGTTTCTGTGCCCACTCCCTCTGCTAAACCACCTGTTCCAGCAGTGTTCCTTCTGTGTGCTAGTTTACTTTAGGACATTACTTTGTTTAAATGGGGGTGCAGTGTTATAAAATACAAATGTGCGTTTTCTTCTTTTCAGGGTAGAGAAGTTGTGAAGAGGTGTAGAGTCTCGGGAAATTTGCCTAAGCCTCTGCCTGCAGCTTTGTGCTTCATTCAGTCTGTGTAGAAGAATCCTGTAAACCTCGCTGTTGTGACCAGGGTGGCATCAGTCCCTGGGCCTGGCGAGCGCCCTGTTTCCAGTCTCGCTGGAGTACAGAGGATGCTTTTCGAGACAACTAGCAAGTCTGGGTCTGAGGTAGATGAAAGCTGAAGCCCAGTTCTGCAATTTTACTTCTCTGAAAACAGATAACTCCTAGGAACAGAGAATAAGCTTTGTGTGCCCTTCGTTTCCATGGGAAGGACCCTGTGCACAAGGTAAGTTTGCTATATCATGTTGGCTCATTGCAGTTTGCCTGGGCCATTCTAGAGGCTTGCCACTCCTCCGTGTAAACTCTGACCTTCCCATAAAAAGCCCATAACCGAGACCCTTTGCCATATCTGTAACAGCTCCAAGCAGCAAGAGTCCACTGCAAATAGTCTTGTTTTAACAAAAAATGCCCTGAATCAGCCCATCCTTCCCTTAGCTAAAACCGGCAGATGCTCCTGGCTCCTCTAGGACCAATGGGAAAGCTCTCTGGTCCCTGAGGCAGTCTGGATGAGAAATCGCATGCTGCTAAGGCAGGAATAGCTGCAGACGAGGTGCGTCTCTGGTAGAGCCCCACGCAGTTCTCTAGGGCAAGACTTGTCCTGAATTCCTGGCCTTGTTCCTGGGGCTGTGAGGCACACGGTCCGCACGGGGAGGGGCTGGAGGCTGCGATATGCAGGAGGTTGGATGAGCACAAGGGAATGGCCCTTTCTGGACTTGATTAAGGCTGTACGTTTTTAACCAGTTATATGTTCTTTGCTGCCCTTTCATTTGAGCAAGGGCCAAAAAGGTGGGATCCAGATTGCAGGAGTTTCCTTAGTGCCGCTTTCTGCTGGATGGCTGCTGCTCTAGATCCCTGCAGGCAAGTCACCTTGCCACCTCCCTGGCTTTAGAGACCACGGTTTCCCTGCAGCCACTGCTGTTTATGGTGCTGCAGTTATCACCCCACGACACCAAGCCATGCTGCCAGCGAGGGATGCAGGCTCAGAGAGCAGGAGGTTGCCAAGACACCTCACCAGATGCATATTGTCTCTTTGTTCCTTTGAAAACCACAAAAAAGTTTCTCCCTTCACAGTTCAGTGATGCCCAGACAAAGATGACGTGAAATCTGTGGAAAGACTTATTTTATTACAATATAGGAATTCATAGAACCAGATGTTTATACTTAGCTGTTGCTCCTCCATAGGAACACCACTGCCCATGCTCAGAGGAACTATTTGCAAGATTATTTCGAATGCTTTAAACGTGTCTGCTGCTGCTTGGGTCTCTAAAGCTGCTCTGAGTCAGGGCAGATGCAACAGTGAATCCTCTCTATTACTGTGCCACAGGCCCCCGTGGAGTAAAGGCAGCTAGAGATGCTGGGGACATGCAGTGGAAAGGGCCAGCACCATCTCCCTCTGGACAGCCATGTTAGCAGCCCACAGTTCCCAGCCTGGAAACCACATTGCCATGTGGGAGGTATTTAATAAACCGTACCTATAGGGGAGGTGTCCTCCTTCTGCAGCTGCCAGGGGACTTGCAAGAGCAGCCCTTGGCAATGCCTGCCTGTTGCCTGGGGCAGCTCTGGGGTGTCTCCACACTGACACTCCGGGTCTTCCAGGGGTGCCGGCTTTCTGTAGTCCCAAACGAGTCCAATGCTGCGCCTGGCTGTCTGGCTCTATCCCCTGTCCCTCACCCTAGCTCCTCCAGCTGGGTTCAAAGGGGGCTGAATCCCTGCCGGAGAGGCGTCCCTCGGGGGAGCCATGCAGCCAGCAGCTGTTTTGCAGCAATGCGGGATGGCCTTTTCAAAGCCGGCCAGCGTCTGTTAGTCAACCAGAATAAGCGTTTTAGGGTCCTTAGATTGGAACAGAGAAGCAAGGCTTACACGCACGTCCAGGCTGGCAGCTTTACTTGTTTCCCCAGCATCCAAAATTTCATCTTTTCCACCTTCATGCTGCCAGAGTCCTTATCCCTCTGCCCTGACACCTCCAGGTTTTATTTCAAGCTGAACCACACTGCTTCCATATGTTCTGCTGCTGTTGGTCACTGGTTATTAAAAGTCAGAGAGGGTTGTTGGTCTTCATTGCCTCCATTCAGAAGTTGGCAGTACTTAAAAAACTCATTCATCTTAGATGTGCTTAGTGCCAATTACCGTTCTCATCCCAGAGGATCAGTTAACTCTTTCTATCCCATTGGCTCACAGTACCGTGGTGAACAGATAAGCTGTCACGCCTGTTTCTAACTGCAGAAAATCAAGCACATTCCCCATGCTAGTCACAAGACACGCAGTGGTGGCTACCAGAAAAGAGGAACTGATGCAACTCCCTGACGCCGGGAGGCACGCTAGCCTGTCACAGCTTAAGGTCTGACTCAGGGCTTGCTTTGAGTGCTGTGTTACCTCTCATGGATGGTGACGCTGGGAGAAGGACCCGGCTTCTTGTGAATGATATCTAATAGCAAAAATGCAGAAGTGACAGGGAATGGAAACAGCTGGTGGGAATTCCTTAGTAATGACCCAAACTATCTACGTGTGGTAGAATGCGAAAATAGTATTTCCCCAGCAGACCTTGTAAAATTAACTTGTAAAAATATAATTTTGATCATCACTTATTGCCTTCCCACCCCATATTCCCGGCTGTTGGAAGAAGAATTAGCAAACGTTTGCAGAGAACTTTCAGAACACATTCACTGATTTGCAAAAGGCTTTGCTCATGAATACAAAATAGTAGTTAACTACCTGAGAAGGTGCAACACACACTGGATTTGCCTATCCTCGATGCACGGTGCAGGCTGCTCAGTTAGTCACGGACATTGTTTAACAAAATGCAATCAAAGGCTCTGAATTACCCCTGGACAGGAAAAAATCCAAAGCACATAGACTTAAATAATCAGGAAAAAGTGAGCAGAAGGTTTGTGACCCCTCAAAATAGAAAAATTGCAAATCCTTCCTCTCCAGAAGGTTTCCCCAGGTCTGCAATTCATAGCATATAGTAAAAAACTGTTTTTTACGCAAGATCAACTCTGGAGTGAAATACAGAAATGTACAAAGAAATCTCAATTTGCCATCTGGCTCTAACGTTCGCAAAGCTCATAGCCATTTATCTCTGTCCAAAAGTGTGCTTTAAAGATGCAGTAGGAATCTTCCTCTGCAGAGAGTTTTATGAGTGTATGCTTGGCCTTCAGACATGCTAAACTAAACACCAAAGCCTACGGGAAGTACATAAACACTAAAGAACAAACAAGCTTGCTTCATACCTGAAATGAGGCTTGATTTTGGATGCAGAAATGTGTTTATTTTCTTGGAAAGAAACAGGCGTTTCAGCTGTTACAGATTTTCTCAAGGGAATAATTTTTCTAGCAAACCTTGTTCCTTCTGTAATCCTTTGTAACAACTCACCGACTCATGCTGTCCTAGCTTTAAAAATACATTTTCAAAGCCCATTAGCAAATTCACAGGTTTTTTTATACACTAAGAATTAAAGTGGAAACATAAGACCCAGCAAATTATTTTCACTTTATATACAGTCTCTCTAGTAAACAAGTGTTGCAAAAGTCTGTGTGCTGTCGGCAGAGCACTGAGGGATGAAGAACAGAATGCGGTCACATGTGGTTTTATTCAGTGAGTTATTTATATAAATCTGAAGTATAGTAAGAGGCTCCCAGCTCTGCAGCCAGTGCAGACGGTGCTCCTTGGCTTTTTGACTATGTCTACATAGACACTCTTGAGCTCCAAATGCCTCGCTTTGGCACACCACATTTCAGTTGGGATGTTTATTTCCAGAACTTGAGCCCTGATCCTCCGGGAATCCTGGGCCCGCTTCAAGACCAGAGTCCTGGTGCTCCGCTCAGAGCCTGGTCGGGGCTGGGCAGTAGCCACAGTGTCCACCTCCTTGTCCAAACGCTTGTCTTTGCTTCTAGAGATTTTCAAAAACACTGCAACTTTTTTGGTGGTCTCATTTCTTCTGTGTCCCATGACAATGATCATTTCCTCCTCTGCCTGCTCAAAGCAACCCTTAAAAAAGCAAATGCTTTCTGTTTCCCCATATGCCCTCGGCCCCGCAGGTTCCCAGGTGCACAGTGAGAAAGGTGCCTGCTAGGTGAATGGAGACCACAGCATGGGCACAGACTTGACATTCATGAGGCAGGAGATAGACCATGCTGCTGCTCGCCTCTACTCCAAATGCTCTCACTGAGGCCAGGCCTGCATCAGCATAACTAAACAAACACGTATTTTGTAAGCGAGGATGAGGAAGATGTCTGTGCTAATCCATGCTTCCATAAGTTCAGTGTCAAGGGGACAGCACTGTGAGCCACGGCTGCAAGGAGGAAGGAGCAAGTGCCAGGGAAGGCTGGAGGACCAGCTGTGGGGGATCTGGCAAAGCAGGTGTGAAGGCCCTGGCAAACAGAGCACATGGTAAGCCAAAAGCATCCTGCCCCTTACGCATACCTCCTGGCTTGGTAATGCTGTGCCTCTCTCTGGGTGAGAGCTCCTGCCTTCGCAGTGGCAGGACCGACTATGCAACATTGCAGACTAGTGGTACAAGAGAAGATCGGCTGGTAGGTGTCGCATGGACTGAAGAAGGCCAGATGAGATTTGAACAAACCCACGGTCTTCATAAAATATCTGATCTGCTCACCCTAAAGAAATGTTTTTAATCTTGCTGGCATTAAAGATTATAGCCAGTCATTCTATAGGCAGGTGAATGGAATTCTTTATTGTGGCTATTTGGTTATATCTTGAATAGCACTAAGGATTATCTTCCAGATTTCTGCATCTCAGTCGGAGCCCCTAACATGTGTTTATAATTTTCCTCTCCCTTTCAGGCAATGCCAGCAATCTCCTGAAGTTCTTAACCGGAACCTGTGAAATTTAATGGTTGGCCAGTGTATCTGATATACTCTTCTAAAATAGCGTTTCAAGTGTGCATCTCGTAATGATTTATGATTTTTTCTCCAGCAAAATATCCACTATATTTTATCACTAGTATTTTTCATGTGTTCTTTATCAGAAATGAAGGTCAGACCAGTGATGCTTCTATGAAATTTCCAAGGAAGAGCAGTAGGTGGCTGGCTTGGATTTCTTTAGCTTAATTTTTCAAATTTAAAAGGCAAAAGCTTCATTATGGCACTGACTAATAAAGGCCTAGGGCCAGCCAAGTTCTGTTCCTTGACCTAAGTGCTGAAGTCAGTGCAGTTGTAGACACATAAATTAAAGCAGAATTTGACTTGTCTACTGTGTAGATGTTATCACATGGGGAAAATTGCACAAAAATAGCATGAGTAACTCCTAGGGCGTTGTGTACATACCCCTCGAATACCAACTCTAATGGCCAAACCTCATTCTTCATGTGACATAAAGGTGGTCATCACAAGGGTGAGAAGTTGTTATGTCCTTTTTAGAAGAAAAGATGTTTTCCTACATTCCTCTGTGTTGCGTATTTGTGTAACTGGAATAGAGCATCTCTTGGGAAGAATGGCCAAGCAATCCACCCCCACCTCGGTCCCATCCCACAGGATGACAGAGCAGAGCAGGGTGCAGACTCCAGCAGTCATGGGCACGCGGTGCTTGCCGCACGATGCTAGGCTGTCCCAGCCCACCAGCTCCCATCTGCACCCCACACGCCCGGAGACATCCTACCCCGCGGGCCAGCCTCGGCAGGGCCAAGCCCGACCCGTGCTCCGGCTGTGCTGCCGGCACAGGGACTCCGTGCTGCATTCCTCTGCCATCAGCTCAGATGTGCTTCTGCGGCTCCTGGTTGCTTTTCTTTTATAAGCCAGTAGTTCAAAACTTGAAATAAACAATGATAATTGCCTAATTTGAGGGGAGGACGCTGTTTCTCTTTCTGTGCCAAAAGAATGAAAACTTGTCAGAAAGTAAAAATACCATAGGCTTTCCCAACACGCAAACGGCTTCTGTCACGGCTCGCTGAGGGGAGGCATGTGTTAAAGATGTGTACGATTCCAACATCCCAATATAAGATTTTGGTTAATCTCTTATGCCACCTTTGTCCCACCTGGGGTGCACAAGAGCCTGGTGTGGCACAGGAACAGGACCAGCTCTTCTCCTGGGCAACATATGCAACGTATTTACAGGCAATACTCAGTGGTGGATGGGACGCTGAGTTTCATGAATCTGTAATTGCAAATGTAGGGTTGTGGTAATGAGAGAATTCAATGAATCCACAGATTTCATATCTTCACTGACCCGCTACGGCCCATAAACGGTCTAAACAGTCATTCCCTTTTGCCTGCGGCCAAAAGGGAACAGTTAGTTCTTGTGTTTTTGAACACAAAGCATCACTTGGCAGTGGATTTGAGGCTTTATGGAGTCATCGTTTCTGTTTCTCAAAATCTTTTTTCAAAAGTCATTTACTTCACTGAACCTTCATTTGCTGCCCTCACCCCATCACCGCCCTTCTGTGCTCGTGTCACATCCTCAGCTGTCATGCCTTTGTCTGACACACTTTGCAAAGGCGGTTCTTCCGCCATACAGCATATAAAATGAATCATTTAACCTAAACAGGCAGGAGCTCACATCCCTCGGCCCTGCACAAATAAAACTTTGCACTCCTGCATTAAGAAGTTGCAAGGAGGCAGCAGACGAGGTAGCAGCACAGGAACGGGGATTGTACAGTGCGGTTGCACAATGGCAAACGCTTTCAAGGAGACCCAAGCTGCAGATGCACCAAAGAGAACAGGGAGGTGGCTGACAGGGAGCCTTTTTTCCTCTATTCAGATTGCCATTCCACCCTCATCACTGCAGCAGCCAAGCGTTTCCAGCCTCCACATGAAACGACCCAACAAAATCTGCCCCCTTGCCTTCCCCTGTGTCTCCCGGGAAGGCAGCGAGGGGCTGCAGGATCCGCACATGGCAGGCACTGGGTCTGCCCTCCCACCCTGGGCTGAGCCAGGTTTGCAGCAGGGCTGCGGCACGCTGTGCCCACAGGATCCCTGGAGCAGGGCTCCTTCCCCAGCACCCGGCTTGGGGATGTGCGCAGCTCCTGTCCGTGCCAAGAGCACAGGCAGCCTCTGCCTGCTTCGCCCCTGCCCGATGCCATTCCCCCTGCAGCAGAGAGGCGAGTGTGCTGCCGACCCCCTTCCAGAGCCTTCCCAGCATCGCGCCCGGCACAGCGCAGCCGGGAGCAGCCTCCGCGGCCACGGAGCCTGGGACCCACTGCCTGGACCGAGAGGCTATTTTCCAGCCTAGCAGAAATCCATGGCTTGGCGCTCTGCTTCCTCCCATCTGCCCAAGTTTATTTTCCTTGTTTTCTGTTTATGAGCTAGGCGAGTATTGAATTTCCTGAACTCATTGCCATCCATTGCCACAGGTCTCGCACACAAAGACTCCCTTGGTGCCAGGATCCAAGTTTTGCAATTGGACCAATTCCCTTTCCCTCCAACCATTGTGGAAAGAGCCTTTGTTTTGCTTCTGGATCTTGTTCATCAGGCCCAAATCAAGGGCTGCTATCCAAATCCTGTTTTGGACTTTTTTTTGAAATCCAATTTTACTGCTTTAATGAAAATAGCATATTTTAGGGGACAGGGCTGAGGCCCTTGAACAGCAGAATTTTTTTCTGCAGGACTTGTGTATCTTTGCAGAAGCTGTCCAGTCCTGCCAGTTCTCTCTAGCTAGCAGGAACTAGAGGGAAGGGACACGAACGCTCCTGTGAGACTTGCAAAAAGAGAAAGCTCCATCTCTGGGCCAGAAGCTGCATCCCAGCCCACTGACAGCCGAGGCTGGATGCCCCGCGCTCGTTGGGCGGCTGAGAGGCTTTTGGGACTGCTGGGCTCCCCATCGGCGTGCGGAGAGCTGGGCAGCGGGACTCGGGACTCCCAGATTTCTGGTCCCCCGCCCCTCTCTGCCCCGGGTACCGCTGCTCCCGGCCCCCAGCGGGGAGCCCCTGCGGCCGGCAAACGGCAGCAGCGCTGGCTCCCTCGCAAGGCAGGCAGACTAACCTCAAACTTTCCTGATGAAAACCCCATCTCTTCCGGGCCCATAGGAGAGGAACCCGCTTCACTGCGAGCTTAGGCGTGTGCCGCTGCTCCCCTCGCGTATGCCAGAGCTAGCGAATAGCTCTGTAATCGCCCATTTTTACTTAATTGCAACACCTCTGCCCCACTAACTGCGCCAGATGCTCTAATGGTTCCTCACTCTGGGCTCTGAAACACGCTGTTCTCTTCACGCCAGTCCCCGCCCTGCAAGCACAAACAATGGTTTTGCTGGGTTTTGAGCCTTTTATGAGCCAAGGGGATGTGGGGAGAGAATCCCCTCCATGCCAAATTTGGTCGATAATAAAAAACAGGAAGGGAGCCCAGCGACGCCATGTTCAGATGCCGCGATTGCCCAATGGGACACAGAGGGGAGGGAAGGCTGGGGTGGGAGACGAGACCAGGGCTTCCCAGAGGATTTATGACCCCGAAGGGGTCGGTGCCCACTGGCAGCCAGGTGCCCTGCTCCCCTTCCCCACCGCGCCAGCAGCATCACACAGCACTGGCCCCAGGGCTGCAACAACCCTGATTACAAACAGCCCAGAGTCACCTCTGCTGCCCCAGGGGCATCAATTATCCCTTTTTCCCTGTTAGAGACAGCAGAGGAACAGCCCAGGCTGCAGCTTTGGCAGCCATGTAGCCTGGTGGTGTCAGAGCTGCTGGGACACGGGGAGGTGGCAGGAGGAAGAGGACCTGGCTCCAGGCATCAATTACTGCTATGGTCTCTGCAGGTTCCTACATCTTCTCTTTTATCCCTGCTATATATATATATTTCAGAACGATATAAATTCTCTGCTATGAACCCTGCTGTGCAAGGACAAAAGAGGAGTTACAGGCAAGCCCAAGAGAAAAGGAGGATAAAAAAACCACAGGAGAAAATTAATAAAGCATTTGAGAAAGGGAGGGGGCACCTCGCTGGGAAAGCGTGTAGCACATAGGGCTCCCCAAAGCACATCAAAGTCTGACTCTGAAATTAGCCCAACTGTTGGGAACATAAAGCAGGGGATTCTCCCACTGGGCTGCGGATTGAGTCCCCCCCGGGCCGCGAGGCACTGACATTTGTATTTATCCAGCCCAGAAGCTCCATCGTGGAGCTTTTCAAAGGGCACTGCTGGGACCCAGCAGGCCACCTCCCCAGCACAGCAAACACTGCACTTTTAATTACTGCTCTGTGACAGCACATGTGCCCGACCCCCACACTAATTCTTGTTGCAATTACAGCGATCTAATTGAGTTTATTCACTCTCTGCAGCTTTTGTGTCTTTCTTCCTCACACTCCCTGCTGGTGAGAGCTGGGGCCTCCATTGATCTGCTAGGTAGCAATACGGGCAATGTCGGAGCATGTTCCCTCAGGGTCCCGCCAGCCTTTGTGTCCTCGAGCTGCCTTAGCTGCTGGGAAACGCAGAACCCCCTCCCCAGCATGGGCACCAGCCCCAGGAGAACTGCCACCCCGCAGCCCCTTCGGACCCAGAACCACACCGGCAGCGCTTCACCAAGTGCTTAGCTTCTTGCTTTGAGAAGCAATTCTACATTTTCATAGGAAAATTACTCCCAATTAGCAAAGAAATGAGGGCTTGGAAGATGCAAACAGGCTCTCTGCACTCAGGGATGACAAGTTATGGAGCAGTGACAGTGCAGGTCTCCCAGCTACACTTGCGCTGCTGGGAGAAAGTCGAAGCCTTCTGACCTCCAGGCCATGAGTGGCACCTTCGCCCTGTACCCTGACCCTCTCCTTCTGCAGTTTCCCCAAGAGCTCTCAGTCCTGCCCGATTCCTAAGCTCACAGATTGCACCTGCACAACCCGGAGGAACACGCCTGAGGGCGGTTATCTTGCCTCCTCTGTGTTTTATATATTGCCTACAACCTGTGTGCACCACCACCTCGCTAACGACCTTATGCCTGAAGACTGAGGGAGGAACTCCGGAAAAACAAGCTATCAATAAACCTGGTAGTATTCAGGCACCCAGAAAGCTGCACCTGGTGGATGCGACTACATTTCTGGATAGCTACGACACTACAACCCTGCAACAGCAACTTGTGCCTGCAGGAGACTCCAGCAAGAGCGCTTTGGAGTTACCTGCCTTTGCTCCAGCAGAGCAGCGCTGGGTGGGATTAGAAGGAAACCTAGGCATGTTATTGGAAAGTAGCCCCCGGATGAGGCTCCCCAGGATTTTGCTTTTTCACCCTGGCATCCCCCTTCACCTGCCAGCTGTCATTGGAAGGGCTTTGACTGAAGTTAAAAAAAAGTCAAATTCCATTTAGCTCTCTGATAAAAGTAGCATTTGCAGCAGAAATGAGACATTTTGAGAGCTGAGCTCTCCAAAGGCAGGATGGACAGGGCTAGGCAGGGAAGCTGGAGGTTGGGAAGGGTCCGGAGGGGCCAGCATGCCCAGCCCACACCGGACCGACCTGGGTCTCCGTGCAGGGGCTCCTGCGGCTGCGCCTTTCTGGGGATGATTCCCCTCTGCCAGAGGATTCCCTTCCGTCTCTGCCAGTCCTGCTGCCGGGCTGGGCTGGGCACCAGGAGGAAGCATCAGTCCTTCACGCGGCCCCTTGGGGAC